TCTGTTGCTGTTGTGGTACCTGGCACCATTTTTTTTAATTAGCATCTTAATCATCATCTGGAAAGAGAATATTCTAGAGTAATATTATTAAATCTAGCTCTGATAAAGCATGGTCACTACTATGTATCCTAAAGCAGGTGTAAGATATTTTACATTCACAGAGGTATGATACAGTACCGTTCTACATCAATAATACTAGAATCAGTTTTGGTTTGAAATTTGCTTTGTCTGCAAATAAGATTGCTACCCCTGCTTTTTTCTGGGCTGCTGTCACATGGAGAATTGTTTTTGATTCTTTCACTTTCAGTCTATGGGCTTCTTTTTTCACTAGGTGTGTTTCTTGTATACAACATATTATTTGATTTTGCTTCTTATTCCATTTTGCCAGTCTATTTCTCTTGATTGGTAAATTGAGGCCATTTACAGTGATGGTTATAACTGATATGTACTGACTTATTATTGACATGTTATTGGCCTTTTGTTGACTCTTTACTTTTTCACCTTCTGCTTTTAGTTCCTTGCCTTGCCTATTTGATTTGCTCTGTTAGGCCTCATGGGGTTGTTGCCTTCATTGTCTTTTTCTAAGATCTTGTTTAGAATTGCTTGTAGTACTGGTTTGGTATTCATGTAGTTTCTCAGGTGTTCTTTGTCATGGAAGTGCCTTATTTCCCCATCCATTTTGCAAGAGTTTTTCAGGTTACATCAGTCTAGGTTGGAGGTTGTTCTCTTTTAGTATTTGAAATATCTCACTCCAGGCTCTCCTTGCTCTAAGGGTTTGTGTTGAAAAGTCTGCTGTGATTCTGATGGGCTTTCCTTTGCATGTGATTTGTTTCTTTTCTCTTATGGCTTGTAGTGTCTTATTCCTTTGTTGGATTTCTGGAATCTTGATTATTATATGTCTAGGTGTAGTTTTTTTTTATTGTGGCTAGTTGGGGTCCTATATGCCTCAGTTGTCTGAATGTCAAATTCTTCCCCTCTGTTTGGGAAGTTTTCTGTCATTAATTCTGAAAACAGCTTTTTTAAGTCATTTGTGTTTTCTCCTGCTACTTCATGGATTCCTATCAGTCTTATGTTATTCTTCTTTGCATCATCTAGCAGTTGTTGGATCAATTTCTCATGGTCCCCTACTGTTTTTAAGAGACCTCTCTTTTCATGGTCACTGACTGCAAGCTTATCTTCTATATCTGAGAGTCTATCTTCTCATTATTTTATTCTGTTGCGTACACTTTCAATAGAGTGTTTAATCTCCTGGATATCTGTTTGAATCTGTTTTATGGATTCCATTTCTTTCCTATGTTGGGCATTTATTTTTTCCATTTCTTTGTTATGCTGGGCCTTGATGGCTTCTATCATGGTCCTGAGCTCATCTATTTTTTGTCAGTTTCTACTCTAGAGTCTCAAATCATGACTTCCATTTTGCTCACTATCTCTATGGTTAGGGAAATTATTTCTGTTTTGAATTTTTCTAGAGCCTGATTGATCTCTTTTGTTACTTCCTGTGATTTGAGTTCAGGGTGTCCTGGTGGTTCACTATTGGCCTTTTCATCCTCATTTGCCCTACTGTTTGCCATTGGTAAACTGGAAGTCTGTCTTTGTGTCTTCCTTAAGTGTTTTCTCATTTTTATTTTTGGTGTTTGGCTGTCCTTGGTTTAATCTCTGGGTTATCACCCAAATTTCACTGATATAGTTGCACCCCAGCTTCTGTGTCTCTAACGACCCACAGACATTCTCATCTTCATAACATCAGAGAAAGCAGCTCATCAAATCAAACACTATCCTTTATTCCAACTGATACAATCAGCAACACATTAAGATCAAGCACAACTTGGAAACTGACCACATGTGGCAGTCACTAGTCTATCACCCTTAAACCATTTGAATTAAATTGAAATCAAGAAGCAGTCCAGAACATGTCTGCAGTGAACAAACTTTTCAATATAGTATATTTACCATTTAATGGCTCAGAAAGAGCTAGGAAGCAAGACCCCTGATCCCAGTTAGCTGATTGCTGAGCCCCATGACACAGATTGACCTCTGGCTGCATAGCCCAGATTGAGTTCCCCAACCTTCTGAATGTTGAACTCCACACCTTTCTACTACAGGTTTCCCACACCCTTTCTTTAAAGATGTTCAAAGTTGGGAACTCAGAAAAATACCCTTTATGACCACCTCTGCCTCTGCAGAGTGGGTCCAAAGACTGGCACAATCAGAAGGTCTGAGAGTGCAGTAGGGGGGAAGTAAGGGGAGTTATGGGGGTTCAGGGGTGCCCATGCAGCTACATTCCTGGTGCTGGAGTGATGGTGGCTCAGGGTGGGAGAAGGCGTGGCTCTCCTTCCCCTGGTGGATCAGGGCCCAGGCTCTTTTTTTCTTTTTTTTTTTTTTTTTTTTTTTTTTTTGCTCCCGGACATTGAACTCAGGTCCTTGCATTTGCAAGGCAGGCCACCGAACCACTGAGCTAAATCCCTGGCCCTATAATGGTACAGTTTGTAATAGCTAAAACTTGGAAACAGCCCATTTGCCCATCAGTTGGAGACTGGATAAAGAAGATGTGGTTTGTCTATAAAATGGAATACTACTCAGCCATAAAGAATGAGAAATTAGAGTCATTCCTAGGAAAATGGATGCATATTGAGGTCATACTCTTAAGAGAAATAAATAAGTCACACATATGTAAATACCAAATAGTTTCTCTGGTGTGAAAAACTATAATTGTACATAAGATCATAATGATATAATTGACAGTGTGAAATAAGAAGAAAAAGACTAAAGGTGTAGGCAAAGTGGGAAGGGTAGGGGTAAGTAAATAAGGAAAAAGAAAAAAATCTGAGAAAATGGAAATAAAGTTTTTGTAAATAGGGAAGGGAGGAGGGGATGATAGGAGGGCAGGGGTATGGAGAAAAAATGAGAATCAAGACCTGTCATGTAAATGTACAAGATCTGAATGTAATTGTACTGTATCCCTAAAAAGTACCAATAAACTCAATAAGAAAAAAAAATAAATACAATAAAACACTTGGACCCTCAATTTTCTCACCAATAAACAAAAATGGTCCCAGGGAAATTTTGTAGACAAATAAACAAATAAATAAATAAATGCTGAATAAATGTAAAAACTGTTTGGAAAACACACAGAGAAAAAAGTCCCTATTAGTGAAGAGTTCATTAATGTGGTATATGCATCACACATTACTCAACTTTTGGTGTGCCTTGCTTTGTGTTTTAATAGTCTTCTTAGACTTTCTAGACATTGTGACTCATTCATTTTTTCACTTCTCTGATCTTTGCTAAATCATTATTGTTATTGTTTGGATTGGGGACATCTCCCAAAGGTTCATAGACTAAAAGTTTTGTTCTCAGCTGTGTTACTATTAGAGTGGGGGTCAAAACTTCAGGAGGCATGGCCTGGTTGGAAAAACTCAGCCAAGGGTGTGCCCTAGAAGGGTACACTGGGGACCCTAGCCCTTAAACTAAAGTCTCTGAAACAGTGAGCCTCAATTGACTTAATCCCCAGGTACCTCTGTCTCTCATTATTAATTTTGAAAGAGGATCTTGCTAAACTGATGCTACCCAGGCTGAGCTTAAACGTGTCATCCTCCTGCCCCCAGTTCCCAAGATTGCAAGTGTTCCTTGAAGTTGATTTTCTAAAGAATTTTATCCCAATGATGGAAAGCTGACTCTCATACTTATAATATTAGTTGAAATGATTAGATATATGAATAGATCTTGTCTACCTAGACCAAATTTAGTCTTCACTGTTTTTCTTCTTTTGATCATTTCTTTGCATTCCCAAACTTCTAGATCAGGTAAAGTTCCTTTATTGTATGTTCTCATAATTTCTTGTTCAATTTTATAATTGTCAATGGATGTCTGCCTTTCCCTCCAGATTTTAAGTTCAATGAGATGAACATAATATGCCTTATTTTTCATTGTATCACCAATGACTACTATGTAGCAAGATAAGTATTTAAATAACCATGAATGACTGAATTTTTGCTAAAATCCATCTTTTATAATAACCTTGTTTTTGACCACCCAGAACTACATTTTGCTCCTGAAAATCTTACTTAGTGTTACTGCACTATTTAAGATAAAACTCTCAGTATCCTTGAATCCATTATTTGTGAATACCTAAAGGCAACATACGTTTTTTTTTTCCATGTGACTTTCATAATATTAGAAAATATATAAATATAGGATAAAAAATTTCTAAAAATTGCCTCATTGTTGTGTTGTAAAGATGAATCACATTTTGTCCAACCAGCTACAAATTTGATTTAATATCTAGAACCTAAATATCCTGAAAAACAGTACAAGACTTAAACATCAAAGAAAATAAATAAAATTCAGTCTTATTTGCTAGAGCAGAAAAGACAAAAAAATTTCAGAAAGATACTTAAGGTTTCAGTGTGTTCTGATTATACTCAAGTTAAGCAAACTGACTTTGAATATACTTTATTTATTTCCCAAGTTTCTTGCTTTTACAAGAAAAAAAAACACATAGTTTTACATACAAATGTACCTCAATTTATGATGAGGTTGTCCAGATAAAGCCACCATAAATAATGTAAGTCAAAGCTATACTTAATTCACCTACATTTCCAAACATCACAAAAATGGTAAAGTATAAATCAGTTTTCTACCCTTGTGATCACATGGCTGACTGGTAGCTGCAGTTTGCTATGCATATCATTTGCCAAGAAAGATAAAAATTCAAAGTATGGTTCCTATTTTATCTAAATAGATTTCACACAATCATAAAGTTGAAAAATTGTAATTTAAACTATGTGCAAATAGGGAGCTTATACAGGTGTTGGAAATGCTGAGAGGTAAGCAGTAATTATAGGCAGATGCAAAGATCAGTAACATCAGGAAGCCACAAATACTCCCATGCTGGAGAAAACAGACTAAAGGGCAGGTTATTTGATGAATGCTGGAATCAGGCAGGAGACTCAGCCACCAACAAAATAACCACCTAATGCAGGCATAAAGAAGAGACATACCCTTTCTCTTTTGTCCTGTCCTCAATCTGAAGAGTACAGATGGCAGCAGTCAGCTTCCCTGTGACACAGAGAAGAGAAAGTCAAGGAACCAGCACAAGGGCAAATAGGCCCAGTGATCTACTTACCCATATATTTTCCTGGGTCACTGAAGCAAATTACTGACCATCTGAAAGCTGATTCTCACTGGAAACCAACACATTAACATTCTGACTTAAAATGTTTTGTTGCTAAGAAACCCTTTCTAAAGCTGCTGTTCTTAAATTCTATTATTTTATTTTCATTCCATATTTAAAGTTTCTCTTTCAAAGTGTAACACTAACCTGTGCATTATTGTAAATGACATGTCATTTAAAAATCAATTCAGTGTGAAGGATTACACATAATAATAGGTAAGAGCAAAGGAATTTGCATGGCTTGCCATTTTGCTGCTTCAAAGTGGGAAGTGTGAACAAGGAAGAGAGGACAAATGACCAAAGTGTTGACCCTGAGACCCGGAGTGCTGGTTCTCACGAGGCACAGCTGTCCCTGAGGCAATATGCTGGAGCCAAGTCTCTCAACCCACACACAACCCCCTAATTCCTTCTTTGTTCTTGTTCTCAGTTTATACTCCCCTTTAGTCATAAACAGATGTTGTTTTATCTAGATGTTCTGTCTTTAGTTTGAACAGTGTGTATCTGCTTGGAGCCTCTTGTGACTGATGTTTATCTTACTCATGCCTCTTTGTGACTGTTGTTAATCACCAAACCACTGTGATCATGCTTGTGTGTGCAGCCTTGAAACTGCTATAAAGACCCTGGGTGAAAATTAAACTTTGCCATTAGCCATCAGCTTTTGGTCATTTGTTGTGTCCACAGTCATCTCCCAGAGCACCCTCCTCTAAAAAGAGACCCCAACATGAACAAAGCAAAGATCTAAGGGAAGAATAAACAAAAGGGATTCATAATAACACTCAAATGGTTAGAATGCTGCTAAATTTTCTGACAGTTCCTGACACTCAATAATAATCATTTTAGAAAACAAACACTTTTTTTGAAGCATTCTTAGTTACTTTTGTCAAAAAGTTCTTAAAGCAATTTAAATTACTCCATTATTCAGAAAGCATATCTTGGAGTATACAACATGCATAATACTGCTCAGCTCATATTAAATAGTCATTTTGATTGGCTAGTTTAATCACTCCACTGAAAAGGCCTGATTGCTCATGGCTGTATTTCTTTGGCCCATGACCTCTTGAGCAAACTAACTGCCAAGTACAGCCCTCATTGTTTGGATGGAGTATTCTCCACCTTTGTTAAGTCACAGTATGGAGAATAATTTCTAAAGGTCATGTGAGGTAGAGAGTGGAGTTTCAGGCCCTGGTCCTTCCCCATTAGAGCTGATACTTTTGGATCTCAAGTGCTGTTTTCTTTTCAAAACATTGAGAGATTTTTTGCCATTAAAGCCAACAGGAAGCTGGCTGGAACATGACTAGTCCTAACTCCACAAAGGCAAACTCAGCCTCAAGAGGCAGGTGAAATTCAGAGTGCTAAACCACTAATGCACGGCAAGGATCCTGGGCAATTTTCACATGATTAAGAATGCCCTAAAAAGATTGGAGAGATTATGTCCTTACTTCCTCCACCACCCCTGTGGTTTTAAAGGCTTTAGATCTTCTCTGCTTTTCCTACTTTAAACAAGTAAATTAAGGAGTACAATTGTGGCTGCTAAACAGCTACTACGTATCTTCCCAGGCAGGCAGAGTTGAGGAGAAATAACCTCATTAATTCAGTACATGTCTAGACATTACCTGTTTCTAACTCAGCAAACCAAGATGTAATATTTGCCTCCATAGGCATATTTAACCCTACTTCCTTCAGAAACTGATAATTAGATGAGGTCAGAAACAAATCAAAAATTTTTGAAAATATACAATAATGCCACAATAATTTAATTTAATTATATAATTTACTTTTTTAAAGGTAGTCACACTTTAATTTTTTAATGAGTTTGAGGTTCACAGTATTGGGAACAATGTTTAATATTTGGAAGAAACACAAATGCAAAAAATATTAAATATACAGCACACTTCTCAAGTATATCAATATTTGACTCAAAATAACAAGATATAAACATAAAAATACCAATTCCATACTTTTAAATAGAAACAATGAGAAATAGACACTAAGGGGTGGGGAAGTAGGCAAGTATAATGAAATGACCACCTAAAACAAGTTTAAATATATCAGTCAATAGATGAAATAGAAAACAGATTTGAAAGGAAGAGTGAAGTGTTTTATCTTAGAAGTTACTATAGATTTGAGCTACTTTGGTTTCAGAATAATCAGCAAAAAATTCAATGAAACTACTCCTATTTTCCTAATTTGGAACAAAAGATAAAATATGCATTAACTTCATGGTTGCTGTTTAATATCTTAATTATGATAGCAGGCCACATTAAATTGCTTGAAACTAAGTAGTTTCAAGAAAGTTGAAAAGCAATATAAAATTGAGAAAATTTCAAATCTCATACTTTTTTATTTAAAAGTCTACATGAAATGTCACTGACCAGCCATACCTTGCCCTAACTTCTCAATTAGAAATGTGTCACATTGCATTGTCATACATTTTTCCTATTGTAAGTCTAATTTCTTTTTTAAGTCTAATTTCTCTTGATCTCACTGTGTGTAATTTATACGTACCTGTGTAACTTTCTTTTTCTTTTGGTTTTTTGAGATAGGATCTCACTCTGTAGTTTCAACTGACCTGGAACTCATTATGTATCCCAGGCTGGTCTCAAACTCACAGTGATCCTCCTGCCTCAGCTTCCCAAGTGCTGGGATTACAGGCATGAGCCACCATCCCGGCTCTTTGTACAGTATAACCTTTAAATAAAGTATTATGGTGATTCTATTTGCTATGGTTTGAATGCTTTTACTCCAAAATTCAAGTGTTTTCAAGGTGGTGGTATTAAAAAGTGAGGCTTTAAAAACATGATTAAGCCATGTGTTAGTCAGTTTTCCAGGATTGCAACAAAGCAACTGAGATAATTAACTTACAAAGAGGAAATATTCATTTGGCTCATGATTTCAGCACTTCCAATCCAGAATTTCTTGAATCCATTGCTTTTAGACCTGTGTCGAGGCAGAATATGATGTACGGAGCTTGCAAAGAGCAAAGCCACTTATCTCTTGGTAGCCAGGAAGCAAATAATGAGAAGAGAGTAGCATGACACATATGCAAACATGAAAAAAATCCAAAAATCACTGTATAGAGTGAAAGAAATCAGATATCGGAGAATATATGTTGTATTTTTTTTTTCTTTTCATATAACATTCTAGAAAAACTAAATTGAGTAAAAAAAATAGATCAGTGTTTGTCTTGGGTCACAGGTGAAGGGAAAGAAAGATTGCAAAGGACCATAAAATCTTTTGGCATTCTGAAAATGTTCTGTATCACAATTGCAGTAATGATTTTACATGTACCTACTTTTGAAAAACTCATCAGATTGTAAACTTTACATGGATTTATTTTACATAAATTATGTTTTAATAAAAGTGGCTTTTTAAAAACTCAATTTAAAAAGAGGCTTAAATTAATGTAATTAACTTAAGATCTCTCAAAAACATTCTAGATTTTCAACTCAATCAGAATTATCTTTCCTCATAAGGAAGATAACACAGATGAATACTGATCATTCAACAACTACTTACATAAAAGCTTCACTAAGGAAAAGTTACTAAGCTGGACTAAAGAACAAAGGCAGCAGCCACCTCTAGCAGCAGCAAATCTTAACTAACTGGCAGCAAAGCATCTCTCAAGGACTCCAGCAGCACCTGATACAGCTCCTTCATCCCTGAGTTTGGAAGCTGAGCCTCTCCACACAACAGATGAATGGAAAAAGAAAATGTGTTCATACACAATGGAACACTACTCTGGCATAAAGGATGAAAGAATGGAATTAACATGAGAAAAGGAAAAATGGAAACAAAGTCTTTGTAAATAGAGGGGGGTGGAGAAGTTGAAGGGAGGGCAGTGAATGGGGGAAAAATAAGAACTAAGATACAATTGTAATGATACAAATTTCCAATGATGAATGCCATTATATTATATACCTAAAATGTACCTGTGAAATTAACTTTAAAAATCAAGGATAAAGGTGAATCACTTGTAGGAAGATGGATCCACCTTGAGACTATAAAGTTAAGTGAAATAAATCAGAATACGCAAGCTTAAATATTACATTACACATATAATTTCCCTTATGTGAGAAACTCAAAATATAAATAAATTAGAGTAGAATAAAAGATAACAGGAAGCAAGGAGATACATTTTTTGCAAAAAGGTAGGGGATCAAAAGGATAGGGGAAGAGAAGGGAATGAGAAAGAATCAAGATGTGCTGTGTACATATGCCATCTCCCCACAATGAATGCAATCATTACGTACTGCAAATGTGTACTAAAAAGAATAAGTTATTAAAATGCATAAATGCTTACAGAGGTAAAGAAGGCAGTTGCAGTCCAACCACTTCCACCCTCTCATTTTGAGCACAGAATAATCTCTCAAATACTCAACATGCCAATTTAGAACTGCAAAATATATATTCACCAAGTCAAAGCATATCCTAGTCAATTGCTTGGGCTTCACAAATAGCTCATATTCATCTATTCTTAATGAAATACTATGCTATACAAGGAAATTCAGCTCAGAATTTGGCTCTCAAAAGTTCTCCTCTTCCCTAAAATTAAGACAAATTTTTAAATTGCTTTTAAAGTGAACTGATTACTTTTAGTACATAAATATAGCAAGATTTAGCTTTCCATCTTCATGGTTTTTGTAACATAAAAAGCATCCTGATAACCAATCAACTAATGTATTATTCAACTCTTTATATACTTATAGAAAACTTTCAAAAGTTATTCCCAAATATCCAGGATCCTGTTATTCTAAGAGAGAAAATAATTTTACATGATGAATTTTCACTTTTTAACTAGCCTCAAGACATTGTAGATCCAGCTGTGGAACAGTGTATCTTCTTAATATAATTTACCTGTGCCTTATAGTGTCTTCCTACAGGAAGTGGTGGACACTGTGGTTTGTTTTCTGTTAGCTCTATATGTCATAATGATACCTCTCCTTCACTGCTTCTAAATGTGACCACCAACATGGCTGAAACAATAATGCACTTGAAACGATCTGTTAGATGTAGGACCTTGAT